GCACCGAATAGGCTGCACATGGCTGCAGCTCTTTTTGGCACAACTGTTGTTCCTTCTTTTCTTTGTCATCTTGAAGGCACGAACCAGAGAGAGGTAATTAATTAATTTTTTTTTTTTTTTTTTTTTTTTTTTTTTTTTTTTGAGACGGAGTTTCACTCTTGTTACCCAGGCTGGAGTGCAATGGCGCGATCTCGGCTCACCGCAACCTCCGCCTCCTGGGTTCAGGCAATTCTCCTGCCTCAGCCTCCTGAGTAGCTGGGATTACAGGCACGCACCACCATGCCCAGCTAATTTTTTGTATTTTTGGTAGAGACGGGGTTTCACCATATTGACCAGGATGGTCTCGATCTCTTGACCTCGTGATCCACCCGCCTCGGCCTCCCAAAGTGCTGGGATTACAGGCTTGAGCCACCGCGCCCGGCCTTAATTAATTTTTAATTGACAATTTGAAATTGTGTATATTTATTGTGTAAAATTTGTTGCTTTGAAATATGTATCTATAGCAGAGAATGGCTACCTTGGGCTAGTTAACATATATATTACCTCATATACTCATCAATTTTTTGTGTTTGATGAAAACACTTAAAATCTACTTTCTGGCCCAGCATGTGGTCTCATACCTACAATCCCAGCATTTTCGGAGGCTGAGGCGGGTGGATCACTTGAGATCAGGAGTTCGAGACCAGCCTGGCCACTATGGTGAAACCCTGTCTCTACTAAAAATACAAAAATTAGCTGGGCATGGTGGTTTGCACCTATAATTGCAGTTGCTTGGGAGACTGAGATATGAGAATCACTTGAACCCTGGAGGCAGAGGTTGCAATGAGCTGAGATTACGCCACTGCACTCCAGCCTGGGCGACAGAGTGAGACCCTGTCTCAAAAAAATAATAATCAGAGTAAAGGGAACTGGCTACAAAATTTTAATTGCTTGCCCAATGATACAGAGTGTAAAAAAGAAAAAAAGAGGCCATGAGCATTGTCTCACACCTATAATCCCAGCACTTTGGGAGGCCACGGTGGGTGGATCACGAGATCAGGAGTTCAAGATCTGCCTGACCAACATGGTAAAACCCCATCTCTACTAAAAATACAAAAATTAGCCAGGCATGGTGGCACATTCCTGTAATCCCAGCTACTCTGGAGGCTGAGTCATAAGAATCGCTTGAACCTCATCTCTACTAAAAATAGAAAACTTAGGCCAGGCACAGTGGCTCACGCCTGTAATCCCAGCACTTTGGGAGGCCGAGGCGGGTGGATCATGAGGTCAAGAGATCGAGACCATCCTGTCCAACATGGTGAAACCCCGTCTCTACTAAAAATACAAAAATTAGCTGGGCTTTTGGCACATGCCTGTAGTCCCAGCTACTCGGGAGGCTGAGGCAGAAGAATCGCTTGAACCTAGGAGGCGGAGGTGGCAGTGAGCCGAGACTGCGCCACTGTGCTCTAGCCTGGTGACAGAGCAAGACTCCATCTCAAAAACAAACTAATTAGCTGGGCATGGTGGCACATGCCTGTAATCCCAGCTACTAGGGAGGCTGAGGCAAGAGAATTGAGCTGAGATCGCACCATTGTACTTCAGCCTGGACAACAACAGCAAAACTCCATCTCACACACACAAAAAAAAGACTGTGACATTAGAAAGATTCTCTCCATTTATTGTTATTTTTAAAAATGGAACATTATAGAACAGGGTATAAATGATTCAATTCAAGTTAAATAGACTGGAAAGCAGATCAATACAATGTTTATATTTTCTCTAGGTGATAGAATTTCTTCAATGTACCTTTTGCTTTCTCTATATTTCTGTCTGTTCAAAATAAGCTCGTGAACACCCTTCTTCAGTTGACAAGTCAAGCTAGCTTCAACACAAAGGGATAATTTGTTGTATAGGACACAGGACTCCACTGTAGAGCCTAAGGTAGGAACAGAGCCAGATAGTGACATTTATGGAAATAGGGAAAGACTGGGAAATAATCAGACTGGTAAGTTAAATTACAATTCCTGTTTGGGAAAGGTGAGTTTTAGATGTCTAGCAGCCATGCAGAA